GCTCCGTAGGGCAGACACGTTTCCCACTTCTGCCTTGCTCAGTTCCCTGGGGACACCTGAATGCTTCTCAGTTTGCCCCACACCTGCCTCTCTGCCTGGTGCCTGTGTGGCTGTGCCATGGCAAGGTGGTGATGGGCTCCCTGTCCCACACAGGCCTTGCTCCCGTTCTGGCTCCAGAGAACTGTGTCAAACCCCGTCTGCCTCTCGGAGAGATCCCAGGTGGGGCAGAGTCAGAGTTATCTGTGCTAAAAGACCAGTCTGATGGAGGTTGGTAATGATGGTGCTCTTCTGGAGGCTCCCTGTGATGACCAAATTAGCAGGAAACTCCAGAAGGTATAATGTGCTCCTGACACATGACAAGGCTGGGGGAGAGGAAATGAAATGAAAATGGGTCAGGAGTGGGAGGCCTGGACTGAAGTAATTCCCTGTGGTGCCAGGGTCCATTTAAGAGTCAAAACAGCAGCACATTACAAAGAGGTGTAAGAAAGGCTGGTTTCGTTGTCCAGACTGAGCAAACTGGCCTTTCCACTGGTCTCCTCCTCAGCAGTGCCTGTAGCACCTGCAGCACAAACATTTAACGTATTGCCTTGCTGGTGTGAATGCTTCTCTGCCTTTGTTTTTGCAATGAAGCAACAGGCAGCAAAGTAGAACAGGGATCCTCAAAGGAGATCGTTTTTTATCATTGGCAATGCTTATAGACTCTATCTGTGCTGGTGCAGGTTGCCCAGTCACACCATCTGGGGACTCTTTAGCCAGTTTAAGTCTCTCTATAGTGGAAAAACTCAAAGGGAGCCCAAGGCACTTCTGCATGGACAGAGCCATCATCAGGTGAGAAGACTGCAGCATCCAGACACGTCTTGACATGCTGCAAAACTTCTTGACTTGGAGCTATAGCTTGATCTTTCTCTGAACTCATTTCACAGCCCCCAAAAAGCTGAGCTGTCTCCATTTAACAAATCTTTGGCTATAACATTTTCTACACAAACGAAGCTATCCCTATGGGAAACGTGTCTGAATTTCAGGGTATTTGTAGCCTTTTCTGTGCAGAAAAGAATCAGATGAGAAGCATCTGATGGTGCCAGGATAAAAAGCATACAAAAGAGCCATCCAGAATAATGCTGGCATGATTTTTGCTGCCTACCTGCCTCAGACTGGTTTTTGGGATGCTCCAGCACTGCCGTTATGGGGTCAGAACTCGGGTGTATATTTGATGTCTGGAATTATTATTGCTATTTATGTTGAAAATACAGTGCTGCTCGGGAGGCCGCAGTGGGAATCCTTTGCTGTACAAAGGAGGACAGGCAGGAAGACCAAAATGATACCTTCTGGCTCAATGTGTTCTGATTCTGGGTAATGACTGGGTTTGGGCTGTTTCTGCTGAAGTCTGGTGGGGTAATGCAGGCTCCCGTCACTCACTGCCCAGCACACTGTGCTATCTGTCTAGGCTGCTACAGCAATGCTGTCTGAAGCAAGCATCCTGTCACCCTTGCAAGCAGGATTTGGTTTGCAGCCTGATGTGCAAATGCTCCCGGTTTTGGTGTTTCGAGTCAGTTGTGCTGACAGGAAAATGTTCCTTTGCTCCCTGACGGCGCAGCTCCTTGCATCCTGGATGTCAAGTCTGGAATTTAATGGGCTCGCTCATATATGAAGGAATGCATTAAGTACAGGTCAGCAAGGTCTGTTGGTTGGGTTGGTTTAGCAGGGAGAGCTATTATTACCCTGTTGCTTTTAAGGCTGCCTGCTTAAAGGTAATGATTTAGGCGATCCAAAGCCATGCAGGATGCGAACCCAGCCTCTGCTTGTTGACATACATGATACAGCAGAGTCCCCGTTCAGTGTTAACCTCGCTTTACCTGTGGGATAGCCGACTGCAGGGGATTAAGAGTTTCTGTTCGTGTTCTTTTTCTTTCTCCCCTGTCAGGGATTGTCCTGTGGTTTCCTTGGGCTTGTCCTTCACTGAACATGAGTTCCAAAAAGGCTGGGTTTTCTCCTCAGTTCCCCTTTAGGACTGGAATTCCAGAGTGCTCTGTAACAAGCGTAGAAACCATGAGCCTCCATCTATTTTTACTCTTTGACACAATCCCATGTATTTTCCCACGATAAGATCCGCAATCAGTGTGGGAATTTGTGCCAGGGCTGAGGCTTGAATTGTGTAAAATGCCTTTTATTTGTCTCTTAGGATGGAAAGGCAACGAACGCATCAGGGGATGGCCTTGCTTGACAGCGAGCTGGGAAGGGAACTCCAGCACCGCCTCGTTACAAACAGGAGCTGGCCTGGCACAGCCTTTGGAACCTGTGCTCCTCTCTGAGCCTGCAGACATGAAGGTGTCCAAAGGAGTGGAAGTCTCGGTGCTTTTAGCAGGTTGATCCCACATGAGACATCCGTCATCCGCAGAGCATCCCTGGCAGGATCAACAAGTGAGTCCAAATCATCCAGCTTCCTCCCAATTAGAAGGTAATTGGTGGCATCCCGGCCTCTCAGGCACCAGACGGTCCCTCATAAAACATTCAGAAGATTTGAGTTATCCAGAGAGGAAAATGAGGAGGGAGGGATTTTTCCACCTGATGGACGTGGCATGTAATTATGGCAGGCATATCCTGACGCTTTGTCTGCAGTGCTCGTTGCGGCTATGCCGAAGAATTCCTTGATATTCAAAAAGTGCCCTGACCAAGGCAGGTTTCCATAACATGATTACATTAGGAAATTCTATTTCACGCCTGTATATTATAGCGTGCACACAAGCACTTTCATCACGTATCAGAGCGTAGTTTGCTCCGCTCTGATACCGCGCACCAGAGGATGTCTGCAAATGGAATTATTTCAGGATAGTTATCCTAAATAACCCCATGTAGGGAAACCTGTATTGTAGCACAAAAGCACCTTGCTCTCCTTTATCGTAATCCATTTTAAATGTGGATTACGCTGATGCAGAGCAGGGCACTTCTATGTTGGAATAGTTTTAAATAGGAATAGGTTTTGTGCTTTTGGCTCACACCCTGCATTATCCAAAACAGCTTTGAAGTGTAAACAAGCCTCTAATGTGTCTCTGTATTTCCATTCTGCTCCCTGGCTCCTCCTTGTTCCCTGGTTCTTCCTTTGGGAAGGTCCAAAGCAAAACCAGACCTGCAGAGCCTGTCATTTAGGTCTTTGCTTTCCCAAGCTTCATACCAAGGGACGTTACCAATCTGATTCCCAACTTAAATGCATCCCCAAGCTTCTGAAGGGGGAATTGAGATGCAGGTTTCTGACAGTGTGCCATCCCCACAAATTAAATCAGCGCACAACTGTTTCCTTTCGCACTTTTCTCACCTCCTGTGGGACCGTTTGGGTTTGTTCTCTGTCATCATCAGCCTATTCTGCAACCTCCAGAGAAAACTGATGGCTGCGACCCTGGGAAAGGTCCAAAGTGCTCAAGGCCAGGTTGGACACAGGGCTTGGAGCAAGCTGCTCCAGTGGAAGGGGTCCCTGCCCGTGGCAGGGGTTGGAGCTGGGTGAGCTTTAAGGTCCCTTCCACCCCAAACCATTTCATGGTTCTATGCAACAGAGCAGCTGACTTGGAGAACCTCATTGCATACACATGAGTGGGGTTACTCTATCTGCTCATTTATCACTCATTGTCTTGATAGCGTGAGGTCCTCCTGCAGCTCTTCGCAGACGGGTTCTGATTTGCCTATCCTGAGTGGCGCTGGCACATCTGCAGACACATCAGGTCACCGTTCATCCCCAGCATCACCAGAGGCGCCGGCTGGCCCGGCTCCCGTGGCTGGGGAGATGAGGGCACTCACGCCAGCACCCGTCATTCGTTCTGTGACTGCACAGGTCAGACATCAGCCACGGAGGAGGCTGTTCCTTAAATCTATGCAATATTTCAAGAGACAGCCAAAGGGGCAGAAGGCTCCTGGTTCACAAAGACGATGGAGGGGCTTGCTTCAAATAAAAAGAGGTTTATTAAGATAATGAGAATGACATCGTGGTGGTGTACATCTATTGCAGCATTAAGAGAAACAACAGCAAGTACAAAATCCTGAAGAACTTCTATAGTCATTATTATCACAGCCTATCTTGTCCATGCTACAGTTTTGGGTATCCAAAACTTCATTCCCATCTCTAAGGGCTGAAAATCCAAAGATTTTCATCTTAGAAAAAAAAAAAAAGAAATAAAAATACCCCCCCCCCAAAAAAAAAAGACAAAAAAAAGAAACCCAAAACAAACAAAAACCCACCCCAGAAACCCCTAACTCAATTTGATATAAATAACTTGCACTGGACATTTTAAAACTTTCAGATTTTAATTACACATAAATAAATATATACAGATTTCGATCAGTTCAGTTTGGCCTGGTTCAAGTTCTGCTCCTTGTGCTTTATTAATTATTATTATTACTATTACTAACTTTAGGAACGTGTGTGCTGTTTGCCGTCGGATGTGGAGTTTCGGTCAGTCCCGGGTTTAACTTCACCTGCTTTACCCACAGCTGTGGCTGCGGCCATGGGGAGGGCTCTGCCCGCTCGGGTCCTGCCCCGGGACCCATCGGGTGTGTGGCTGGTCCTGCCCTCGGCTACAGCCCGGGGGAAGATCCAGCTCGGGTCTCAGTCTGCAAACCGTAAACGAAGTCTGAAGCCGCTTCAGATCCAAAGCAGCCGCGCTGGCGGCTTTAGGTGGGGAAAGCGAGAAGGTTTCCTCTGTGTTTGCCTGTCAAAGCCAGCCGATAAATCCAGGTACAGCAGGGATCCTGCGCTCCGCGGCTCCTGCTCGCACTGAGGACGCTTTTCCTCTTGTGTAGGTTTTCAGTTGGAAGAAATTCCTGGAGGATTTCACTGGGGGCTTTTCAATAAACCAGAATTGCACGTGAGTTGGCTTCCTGCATCCACGAGTTGAAACCAACAGGCAAGAAGCCATCGACCTGGCTGATCTTCTCAACCTCACCGCGCCCAGGGGAGCTGCTACCACCTTCAGTTCTTTAAATCTTCTTGTTTCTCGTCTTTTCTGTGTGAGTTTCTTCCCGTGTTCAGTTCACACAGTTCAGCACACAGTGCACTGCATCATCTCGCCGGGAAGAGGGATGGAGACAACGCGTTATTTCCGATGCTTCACCTCCTTCTCTGACGCTTTGGAGTCTCCGGCCGTGTGCCCGTTCCCTGTGCTGTTCATGAATATCTTATCCAGCCCCTTGAGGGACTCCACCAGGTAGTTCTGGAAGGCCGTGAGCGCTGCGCAGATGGCAGGGCCCCCGAAGCCGTGGGTTATCAAGCTGAAATGAGTCAAACAGCTCTGGACACCGGGCTCGAGGATGAGCGAGGGGCGGCTGTTCCCCAGCGGCGAGCGGTCCTGGGCTATCAAGTCTGCAAACTCCTTACAGATTTGCCTGGAAGAGAAAGGTTTGTGGTTACTGCGAGTGCTGCAGGGGCACCGTTGTGTCTGGGGCTTCTTTTCCTGCTCCTGGCTCAAGTGTCTGCTTCCCCCTTGGGAGTTTCCAGCTCCAGCCTGGGGAGAGCCCCTGGGTGCAGAGTTGGAGCTGGTGCGTGTGGCGGTGCTGGGATGCTCCCTGGGGTTAGGTTAACCTCTCCCAGGAGGAGCGAGCAAATGGTTCACCTTCCTGCACATCCTTCATGTCCGTGTGCAGCGGGACCGTCTCTTCCTTGTGGAAGAGGAAGCTCTCAGGGCTGACGCTGCCCACCCGCACTGCCGATACCCAGCACGCTGGCGGCTCGTTGCCATCTGTACTCACTTGGTGGCCAGCAGCATGTTCTTCCTGGTGTGGAGCTCCGTGGGGTCCGAGTGCTGGCGGCACAGGTACTCTGCCGCTGCCTTGGCTGGGAACTCGGTTTCGCACACGTACCCGAAATCCCGAGCCAGGTGAACGGCTTCGCCTACGAGCAGGACAAGTCAAAGCTGCGTCAGTGCCTGCGTGCAAGGGGAGCGCTTTGTGCAGCAGCTTCGGCCGTGCCACTGGTGGGGCTTGTTTCTTCTGCTGCCACCCAAGAGCTTTCCGCGCCTTTGGCTCACGGTGCAGGCACCTCTAGGAGGTTCTTAAACCCCCCTGTAAGCCAGTCTGCACGGGCCAGGTGGACCCGTGCCAAGCGGAAACTGGTGCCTTCCTCTGCTAACTTTTATAAAGGGTGGTGCTGGAGGTCGAGCAGGATGAGGTGCGATGCTGGGCTACTGCTCCCAAAGGAAGAACAGCAGAGGTGTTTCTCACTTCCCCTGCGGCATCTCCCTCTCCCTGCGTCTCCCAAAATTCCCTGCTTGGCCTCTCTAATTGAGCAGAGGTTTAAACAGGGGCTGGAGGGTGAAAAAGCGACTTTAGCCCCATGGCTGCCAGACAACACAGGGATGTGAGAAAGGGGCGGAAGGAAGGGGTTTACATCCTCCTGCAGTAAGCAGGAGCCCTCGGGCTGGACGTGCAGGCAGCGTATCCATCACCCCATGGAAATGCCCACCCATTGATGGAATTGATCCATCTCCAGGCATCCCCGTGGAAATAATCAGAGCTGATGGCAATTGATCATGCCCAACACCCGAAATCCCGGTCGGGCAGGCAGAGCTAATTTGACTTGCCCTCCTGCTGCTCATATGTATTAGACCATCCATCCTAATAGCATTAACCTAGATCCCATCACATTCGCCCAGCTTCCAGAGCTCAGCTTGGCCTCCCTGTTATGGGGAAAGTGTCTGTGCTTCCCATATCCTGATAACACTTCCCACTTTGTCTCCTCCTCCAAAGAAGGGGCAAATAAGGAAAAGCTACAGAGAATCAGAGCTGCAGTTGTTTGGGTGTTGAAAAACAACCAGAAAGTAATAGCTGCTGAAAACAGCAGTTATTGTGACTGTAAAAAAGGGCTGCGTGGCCTCACGGAGCATGGAGCCAGGTTTGTTTCCTCCCTGGTGCATGTGAGTGGCTGCACAGCAGAGCTGTTAAAGGCTGTTGGGATGCTGGTGCAGAGGTGCTGCGGAGGGCACAAGGGGGTGGTTAAAGACAAACCAAGCCAGAGGCCAGGAGGGGAGGCTCGTGGGGCAGGAGGCTGCAGCAAGCAGAGGGGCTGCAGGAGCCAGCCCCAGTGCTCAGCTCTGCCTGAGAGCTGAAGGGTGTTTGTGAGGCTGAAATACAGCCCTGACACTGCCCCGTGTGTGCTGCAGCTCCTCTCATGGAGCAGGTGCCCAAGAGAGGACAAGGGCTCCCAAAGGAAGCTGTGGTTCTACCTGCAGCCCTCACCGTGCTCCCCTGGTACCCATCCTCTTCCCCATGTGAATGGCTGGGGGTCAGTGTATTGTTAGCACTCGAAACCCCACACAGTGAATTGTTTGAATGAGCAGTGGGAAAACAGAGGGGAGAAAATGAATTAAACCAACCCAGGCAGTGTCCAAGCAAGAGGGTGCCTGGGGCACAGGGGCACAAGCCGGTTTCTGCGTGCTGAGCAATGGCAGTGCAATAGCACCATCTCCCCGTACCACTACACTTCTGTGCAGGAGATCCTATCCATCAGGCACACATGGCACTACTCTTTGAGTTACCATGAGCTGGGAAGCAGGAACCAAACCATCAGCAGCCACCTGAAATCCAAATGTACGTTTCTTCCTTCCTTTCTTTCTCTCCTTCCTTTCTTTTGATGGAAATCAGCCTTTCATTCAGCACGAACCAACTGCCCTCAGTAACAGCCCCCGCCTAATGAAGCGGGTCATTTAATTTGCTGGCAACAATGGGGATGATTTTCTATTCAGAAACTGCAGGCAGCTGCCTCCAACACGCTGGGCACAAACACAATGGATTCCAAAGCTCGAAGGGAGTCAGAGCTGTCACTGCATTTGTCTGCATCCCGTGTGCTTTGCTCCCAAGATGCGGAGGCAACATCATCATCTCCATCGTGCGGAAAGTAGGAGGGGAGCAAATGAACAAGTGGCTTTAAGCAGAGGCACCTCACACCGCGTGGAGCAGGGATGGAGCCTCGGCAGAGCAGGTTGCTGTCACCCAGCACTGGCTGCACCGAGCCCCTGTGTCCAACCTGGCCTTGAACACTGCCAGGGATGGGGCAGCCACAGCTTCTCTGGGCACCCTGTGCCAGCGCCTCAGCACCCTCCCAGGGAAGAGCTTCTGCCTAAGAGCTCATCTCAGTCTCCCCTCTGGCAGGTTAAAGCCATTCCCCTTGGCCTGTCCCTACATCCCTTGTCCCAAGCCCCTCTCCAGGTTCCCTGCAGCCCCTTCAGGCACTGGAGCTGCTCTCAGGTCTCCCCTTCAGGAGCCTTCTCTTCTCCAGGCTGCCCCAGCCCAGCTCTCTCAGCCTGGCTCTATTTGGTTTCTGTGAACCTGAGGAAGCGTCACTGGAGCTGAGTGCTCCGATGCTCTGACAGAAGAGTCCGAGTTTCGGGAGCCAGCCCGGCTCGGCTCGGCTCAGCTCAGCACGGGGCTCACCCGGGGCTGTTTCCAGGCTCGGTCCCTGGTGCCCGCTGCATCATTTCAGTGGTCTCGGTTTTGGCCAGCCGCAAGTGAAGGGTAGGGAGGGCTCGGCACTGCCAGGCTCCAGGGGAGGGGATGGCGACGCTTACCTTCCACGAGGGATGTCAGCAGGGTGACGTTGGCAGCCTTGCGCCTTCCTGCAGGCAGATTCAGTCCGATTTTCTCTAACCTTTCCCTTAAACACCGACCCCCGTTTTTTGACTTTGCTCTGAAAAGAGAGAACAAGGGCAGGGGGATTAGAATCTAATTAATACTAATATTAATTAATATCTATATTAACATAAGGGTTTAGGTTTGAAAGGAAAGAGGAAAAGCACCAAAGCCGCTACTCCCCAGCACACCACACACCGGAACCTCCATCAATCTGAGAGGTGAGGGCTGGTGCTGAGCACAGCGCGTGCTTGGGCTGCCCGTTGGAGCTTACCTGCGGAGGACTCCACCGAGGAGAGAGGCGTTGAGACACTCGGGGGGCGAGAGCCTCCTCTGCACCTCCCCGACCGTCACCTTGTACTTGGAGGTGGAGCTGAGGAGGGAGAGGCGGCCGGGCACGGAGCAGAAAACCTCGTTGGGATTGGTGACCCCTCCGATCAGGCCGTCCTTGTTCATTGACAGGGTGGAAATGGTGGTGCCGTTGGCCTTCGAGGGGATGGGCACTGGGGGAAAAGGAAGGGAGAGAGAAGAGACCGTGGCTGAGAGATTCCAGAGCCAGGGAAGCTGCTCGGTGACTCTGCCGGCAGCTTTCCAGTCCCCAGCACCATCCACAGACACCAGCACGGCTGGCTGGGATAGCCCCCTTAGTTCCTTGCTTTCCTCAGCGAAAGAAGAGAGGTGGGATGATGAGGCTAAATGAAATAAGGAAAACAGGACTAATGGAAGCAGCCTGGACCCCGCTTTCCCACTGCACTTAAAGCCAAGGCTTTGGGCTGGTCTCCTGGAACGCTAAGGATTGTCCGCGGCATCGCGGCTGGACCTGTCACCAGCTTCCCCTCCCTGCCTCCTCGGGGTGCTCCGTGCACGTGGGATGGGATGGGATGGGGAAGCGCTGGGTGCTGCTGCTGTCCTGGCTTTGGGATGGGGTCACAGCTACAGCCCAGGCTGTGTCCCACTGGATGGGGTTGAGCCACCACCTTCACACCCTGCAGCAAAGCCAGGAGGTGCTGGGGTGGCTGAGGGCTGTGCCTGTCACTGCGCACACACAGGAGCCAAGGGAAAGCGTTTCTTTGGCTTCAGCTTTGGGATCAGCCCCGCAAGCCACGGCCCTAAACTTTCATGGCACCTGGCTTCAAGGAAGCTTGGGAAGATCAAACCAAATTAACCCAGCACAGACTTCCTTATACTTAATGGGCAGAAGTCAGTTAACACAAGGGGTTGGGCAGGCAAGGGGGGCTGCAGCAGCGCACTGGGCAGTTTTCCCCTACGTCATTCCAGTACGAAACATTCTTAGACACAATAAAGGTTTATGGGTGAAACTTGTGCCAAATCTCCTTGGCCTTTATGTTCTGAAATTAATAACTCAGTTAATGTTGGAAAAGAAAGCAGGTTCTGAAAGAATCCAGAGAGCATTTCAGCCCTGGCGTTCCTTGTGGCTCCTCGGTAATGACTGCTCCACAGTGCACATTCAGAGGGTTCGCAGCAATGCACACGAGGGCGAGGTGCAGGGTTTAGAAGGGAAATCCACATGCCCAAAATGAAACAGAAAACCCTGAACGTGAACTGGCCCTATTAAGGGGTGCTTACAATCGGCATATTGTAAAACACAGCTCGAGAACTTGTTAGCGTGGCAATAAAAAGGCAGCACATGTTACATAAAAATGGGTCACGTTTGAAGAGTGAAAGATGAATGGGAAGGAGCATTAGGGTGCATTGGGTTTCCTTTCAGAGTGGGACTTGCACAAAGTCAGGGGGCTGAAGGACGAGATGCTGGCGTTTGCCATGACTGGAGCTGGTTGAGAGATGTTCAGGGAAGAGCAAACACAGCGACGTCACCAGGAGACGCAGGAAACCTGAGCTGGATTTCCAGGAAGCAGCAACTTCAAAGCTTTCTTCCACAGTCCCAGAACAGGTTATGTTTGTCTCTAGAGGACACCCTTGAAATAAAGAGTCAGAGTGCATTTCACAAGCATCCATGCAGTGCTGCCAATGAGTGTGCTGCTTCAGGTGCAGGTACCCAGCGGATGCGGGTTCTGCTGCAGCAAGGGCCACCCCAAACCAGGCACCCCTGGAGAGCAGATGTTGCTTGTAGTATCACATACGTTGTCTGTTCACACAACGGCACATTTGTGCATGCCTGAAGTCATGCAGTGGCGCGCATGCAAGCCGCATGCGTGCTGGGGACCACGGACACACAAGGGATGGGCAGACGTGCAGGAGGGAGGGGAACCGTGGCTCAGAACACATGCCCATGAAACATGGCACTGGGGAAGAGGCAAACGCAGCTGGAGCCTATGGAAAACTGGGCTGGAGATGGGTCCGATGGAGCTCCGGTGTGACACCGGCAGCGTGCGGGGCAGGGCGGTGGGAAGGCACGGATGGATGCTGATGCATGGAGACACCGCAACGCTTCTGAGACACAAGCTGGCAATTTGAGGAATGATGCTGCTGTCGGAAACAACCCCCCTTGAAAGCTGTAACCCGGAGCAGCCAGGTCAGCCCCGCTCCGTGCCACAAGCAAACCGTGCAGGCACCGGGCACCCATAACAGAACATGGATTTTGGCATCGTTCTTCTGCCTCGAGGCCAGAGCCCCACTGGATTCGGCACATGGAGGGATGGGAGGGGGCCCCCCGTGTCACGGAGAGCTGGCACCCTCAGCAGTGGGCACACCGAGTGAGAAGGCAGAAACAGAGCGGGGGGCTGGCCCGGCATCATGCAGCGCTGGAAACCGAGCCGGGCTCTTGAGTCCTGTAACAGCTTCATCCATTAGACAGCGTTGCCCCGATACAACAAGAACAAACACAGCCACATTCGCCATTAATTAGGAATTATTGTTATTTGGCCTCACCTGCTGCTGCTTGCCTGGTCTGATCTGCAGCTTGTTTGCCCATAAACATGCTGCAGGAGGGAGACAAGCTACCATTAAAGCCTGACAGCTTTGTTTCCTTGGCTTTGGGGGAACCAAAATTGTCTCTTGTCATCTGAGTAAACCAAAAGTCCCCCTCGATCTTCAGTTGCTGCTTTCCTGTTCCCGCAAGCAGCAGGTGATCGGAGCACCTGAGCCAGCCTGCAGACAAGAAGGAAGCATGAGAGCGGTTGCGGGTCGGCACCGAAGCAGCCGACAGCCCAGAGCCCCGGTGCCGACCCCCTTTGCAGCTGGCAAGAAATGTCACATCAGTGTCACCGCACCGCTCGCCCCTCCTGAGGTTTGTAGGGTCGGCCATGGGCAATACCTGTCCTGGCATGGGGGCAGGACATCACCTTTCCATCAATGAGCCCCTGCTCATCCCCATGGCAGGGGTTGGGCAGGCTCAGCTCCCGCTCAGGACCATGAGCAGAAACACGCCACAGAGATGCTCGTTCAGTGATGCACCAACGCATTGCACAGGCTGACAAGGAAAGGGTGAGATGCTGGTGCCCAAACCACCCAGTGCCCAAGTGCTTGACCTCGGCCTGATGAGCAGAACAGGGCTCAGCTGGGTCAGCCCACCCCAGGAAGGTATAAAGGGCAGGACAGAGGGTCTGTTTCCCTCTGCAATGCTTGGTTTGGGTTGATTCAGCTGAAGAAAGGGTAAGGAAGAGGCACCAGGCTTCACAAGCTGAAGCCCCAGCGAAGTGTTCTGCCCTGGTGAACCTTTGGTCCTGGGGATGCTGCGGTGGAGCTGGATGGAGGTAAGCACTGTGGGGCTGCACGGGTCACAAGGGGCTGATTTGAAAGGGAAAACTGATTTTGGAATGAGATTGTACTGACAGACCTCAAAGAGCTTCACACGCTGCTGATCCCTGCCCAGGGCTGGTACAGGACCAGCCACTTCAGTCATTAACTGGCTCCCAGTGCCTGTGCGAACTGGTTCATTATTGCAGCTGGGGAGAACTGAGGCACAGAACAAGTTAAATGATTTACCAAAGCTCAGGTAAATGGCCATGCTCTGAATGCATGCAGCCATGGTCTGTGGGAAGGCTTTTGTAAGCAATCCAGTCTTCAGCTATTGCCCAAGAGTTGGGAATTGCTATATAGAAAACTGATGGTGTATGGCCCCTGTTTTCATAACTCCAGACTCCTTTTAACGCTGTGCAATAGAGGTGTTTGTCAGTGCATCATCTTCTCTCATGGTGCTCCTGTATTTTGAAGTGAACCACTGAGAATGGCAGCATGTCAATAATAAGCATGTGATGTCTTGCTGAATGCAGGAAGGGAAATGATGCTCATTTCTTCCTTGTAACTCACAGGAAGCATTTCCACGAGGCTCAGACTCTCACTGCTGCATGGCAGGTACCACTGGCAATGCTTTACACCTTTCACGTGTGCATTGAGCAGCAGTGCAGACAGAGTCCCACACCAGTCGCCTGTCCTGGTGCTATCAGCAGGGACACACAGCCTCATCTTCTCTTTGGACCCCCAAAGCTTGTGATCTCCTCCCAGAGATGCTCTTTTGTGCTGAGTCAGACCTAGGCTCTTTCAACCACCCCTTGGGTGTAACTGTCAGATGATGAAACTCGCCCAGCTCCATTTGCTGTGGCCTGAAAAACCCTGATTCAGAGAGAGTGATTTCAAAACAGGTCCGAAGGCTTCATCCCTTGACTTCCTTGGCTGCATCCCTGCATAGCCAGGAGCCTGCTTTATGGCTCTGGGCAGGTCACCTCACCAATGTGGGCTTGAGATAGTAACATCTGTGTGGGAGAGATGCTGTGATACCTAATTGAAACTTGCCAAGTGATCCCTGATGAGAGATTTCTCCAGGTGAGGTCCCTGGATGATAAATGTAGCCAGAAGGAGTTGGTCCAGGGCTGAAGTGCGGGATGCAATGATGCTCATTGGAGAAGCAGATAGGCGTAGGAAGGCAACACTCATGAGCATGAGGTCCTGATGCCTCCAGTGATGCTGCAGGTGGGATAGGATGCCACTGCCTTGTTTCTGTGAGGAGGAGATACCAAAGAACAGGGGGAAAGAGAAGAAACCACTAAACTGACAGTCACTGTTGTGAGCCTGGTGGATGGAGCAAGGAGACTTGTGCCTTCAGGATGAAGCATGAAGTTTCTGACACTCTTGTTCTGGTTCACAGAAATGGGTCTCTCAGCTTTTAAGTTCCATGTGCAAAGAAGCAGGAGCAAAAAGAACCCATTCTTTCTTCAAAGGCCTTTACCCAGGGGACTAGAAAGCCTTGGAGAATTTCCTGCTTTGCCCTGATGAGTTTCAGCACAAATTGATCCGCATTGTCCAGGATGACGATGCTCCATGCCTGAGCTTCTGTACTCCTTCCTCCTCCTCTGCGTGCACAAGTCTTTGTGCCTGAAATCACCACTATGCTTCCTGAAACAGCCACTTTGATGTGCAAATAACCAGTGCAAAAGGAGCACCTGCAGTCCGGGCTCAGGCTCTGCATGTGGGTGCTGCCAGCGCCTGTGCTCGGGGGGTGGCTGCACACCATCAGCTTTGGGCTTTAAGGGAAAACCTGAGCTTTGCCTGTAAAAGTACACAGAAGTAGCACTGCCGCATTTCCATGCGAGAAACGCGCTGCCTGCTTGCAAGACAATTTGTAAGCAGGAAGATTTGTGGTCCCTGGAAGCCGACTGCTCGGCGTGGTGTTACTAGTTCCATTTCCAGCTGGAGCTCAGGGTGCTGTGAGGGGAAAAATCAAGTCCAGAGGGAACATGCAAATCGCTGCCTGCCTTACAAGTCTGTTTTCTTCTCTCCTTAGATACATTGCAGGTAAATCCTCCTCTTTTGCAATGTGGAATCCCTGGGTATCGGGGCTTTTGTTGCAACACCTTTCAGGTGGGAGTGTGCCGCAGTTCAGGTTGTGTTTCAAACAGGTATCGGCCAATCGTTTTAGAAGACTACCTGGGACAAAGCAATGTCCCGCCTCCAGGCACAGCGCTGTCTCCAGCCACCCTAAAAGCATCTCGACCCCTGGTCCCTCTCTGGGGCCATGCCATGGTCAGCTCAGCTGTGTTGTGCATCGCTGTGGGTTCAGGGCATCCCAAAACACGGTTGTGGGAGCCTCAAGGTGCAAACCTGCAATGGTGCAAACCTATTTATGCAGCTGCTGAGTATTGGAGGTGCAGTGGTGACAGCCCTGAGCCCCCTGGGTCCTGTACTGCAGCTCGGCTCCAGGCAGGCAGCAATGGAAAGCTCAGTCCAATGGATGTTTGATGAGAGGCGCTCCAAAAGGCGAGGGGTTGCTGCTGTCTTTGAGGAAGAGCTGTCAGTGAGCTAATCTACCCTTCGTTTGAATGTCTCTGATGTAAATTATAAGATGGAGATACATATATAAAGGAGTATCTGCATGTGGGTGTGAGCCAGAGGCAACCGCTCCTACCACCCCTTTCAAAGCCCTTTTTCACGGAGGAGGTGCTGCGGAGTTCAGCTGCTCCAATTTCCTGGTGTTTCAGCAGAGAGGTATTTATTGATGGTCCAGGGAAGGAGGTCAGTGCCATCAGCTGTATTTCAAACCTGTGGTCTGTAATTATCCTTCCTTCCCCGAGGGGATTATACAGGTATTTTCTTTATCTTGAATGCACAGCCTGAACCAGGTCCCCATGTCAAAGAGCATCTCTAGGAAACGCCGTAATTGGCTCGAAGGCCTTTTCAAATGGAAGGATGGAAAGAATCTTGTTTTATCTCCGGGCTTTCCAGATTGCTGAGTCCTGATAGGGAAATGGATCTCGGACCCTCAGAGATGGAGCAGGGATATAACTCAAACTATTCCCATGAGAAAGCTAATCAGAGGAGGTCCCATGCCTATGCAAAGCTCTGTACTTAACATTCTCTTTCCCATGCAAATCAATACATTAGAGTGCCATGTGATATTAATTGCATTTTTCTTTCTGTGCCTCTGTTTTACCCAGCAAAGTACCTGCCTTGTGTCACTGCAGGTGTCTCCTGGGGAGCTCTGGGTTGGACTGATGGAGCAGGAAGGTTCAGCCCCCTGGAGACCAGAGGATGTGGTGTCTTGGTTCAGTGGGGTGCCTGCTTAGTACCTTGTGTCTTGATAGGAATGGCCAATCAATACAGTGACCAAATTTACTCAGACCTCTGTGAAAGCACGCTGTGCTCCTCCAGGACTGGCAAGGGGATTAGTGAGTGGTCTCTAATTAAGACTTGCAGCTAATGCGTTTCCCTGCTTTACCATTGAGGAACGGCTCAGCCCCAAACGCGCTGCTTGGTCAGGACAGTTTGTGGATTTTTGGAAACTGCTCCCAAACACTTTGGTGTGAGCTCCCACCCATTTCCCTGCTGTGTTCCAGTTCATGGGTTGGGCTGTGCTGTCATCCCTGACAGCAGTAAACTCGGAAATGCTCCCCTGGAATCCAGCGAGTATTGGTGATTACAGAGTCCCCTGACTCAAAATGCTCTCCCTTTTCTGAACCTTCATAGCTCCATTGCAAAAATACCCATTCAAAATTCAGTTCTATTGCCAACTGCTTTGGATGGACTTGAGCCTCTGCTCCTATTGATTTCAGGGGTTTCCCAGCACATTACAGGCAAGCAACTGAACCAGGAGGCTGGCGAGCCCAGGGATTTAAGCCAGGGCAACTGGAGACCGCAATGCTCTGCGCTGACACCAAGGAAAGCTCGTCCCATGCCACCGCAGCCTGGTCGAGCCGTGCCGCACGGCAGCCAGCGCTCCCCGCCGCGCACTGCCCCGCTCTGCCCTGCAGCCTTTACCATCACAGGTTTATTCGTTTAGCAGCACTAACTCCCATTACGTTTTGGCAAGGGGTCTGCGGGATCTTTGTGTTTAAACAGCATAATCCGTTTTACAGTAACGTGCTTGAGAGGTTTCCCCTGTATTCCCCATAGGAACACCTGAATTTGTGTGGCTTGCATCCACATAATCTAAAAAGGGAGAAGAAAGAGGCAGCGTCTTCTGCAAGCGGCAGCGGAGCCCATGTAAGCCACGGTGATGCTGCAATCAATTTGCTGAAATGTGTTTAGGTTATAGAAAGGCAAAAGACCCTTCAGCAAAGATTAGATGAGAGTAATAATAGGAAAACACTTCTCTTCAGATGGAACTTGCTGCCAACCTGCAGAGCATGCGGGAGGGTTTCGATCCGAGTCTCAGG